TTACTCCCTCTCCCCTCCTCTCTTCCACCATCTCTCCCACCACCACCACCCCCCACTTTTCGTTTGCTCGCGGCGTAACACACGAAAAAAAAAATTTCATTAAAAATTGTAATTTATTCTTAACTCTCGGCATCTTATCTTTTAAATATTATTTATTTATTTATTATTATTATTATTATTTTAATAAATTTTTCGATCGATTTGCAAAACCCCTCGTAAAAAAATTAAATATTCAAAAAAAATAATAATAATAATAATTTTTAATAATTAAAAAAAAAAAAAAAAAATTTTGGTCTTCCTCGTATGCCTAAAAAAAAAAAAAATTACCTGATGGCTAGTTTGCAAAAATAACAATAATAATAATAATAATAAAAACAATAATTAATTTAAATAAATGTATAATGAAATATTATGATAATAATTAGAATTAATTAAATAATTAATAATAATAATAAAAAAAAGAGAGACAATACTATATTATATATATATAAGTCGTTATAATAATTAAGCAGTAGACGTGTTTTTTTTTTAAATGTAATTACTTATTATTATTATTATTAATAAGAAAAAATTATATACATATACACAGTTACACACACATACACACACACACGTGAGAAATTATTTTGTTTATATTATTAATAAATAAATAATTAAATAAATAAATAAATAAAAATCCGAGAACTGACTGTTTAGGCTAAGTTAATAAATTATTAATATATATATAAATTTATGTATTTATACATATTTTAATGATAATAAGTAAATAAATAGATTTCCCGTATATATTTATATGTTGTGTACGTACGTATATGTGCGTTTGTGCGTATGTGCGCGTGTTTAAGCCGTACGTGCGTAAACACGCACGCACACACGCTCTCGCGCGCGCACCATGGGAAATATTTTAAAAGAATGAGCCCCTTTTAAAATATTTCAATGAATGGGTACGTTAATTATTATTATTATTATTATTATTATTATTATTAATATTAGACGTAATTTTTAATATTATTATTATTATTATTATTATTATTATCATTTGTTTACCGTTTCACTTTATTTAATAACCGTAGGCAATTTTTTTTTTTTATTTTCCGATTTCGAAAAATTTATTAATCATAGAGTAAGAAATTTGTTTTTTAAATAAGTTAAGCATATTAATAAAAAATCTTTTTTGTTTTCTCGAATCATCATCATCGATACGCGTGCGTTTTACCCTCCCCCCTTCCCTCTGCACCCCCACACTCCTCACCAATCACCCCAAACGCGCGCGTATTTATCGAGAGTAGGAAAAAAAATTAATTAATTAATAAAAAAACTTACCTTTTGCACCAAAATCGTTTTCAAGTTTCATTCACGATCACGTAGTCAATCAATCAATCAATCAATCAATCAATCATTCTTGAAATCTACCTGAAAAAAAAATAAAAAATTTGTTAAATATAAATTCATTCATTCATTCAACTCCATGTTTTTTTTTTTTTTTGTTCGTTTTTACGTTATTGATTAATAATCGATCTTTGATAGATTGATTACAATGCATTGGTTAGAAAAAGCTTTAATTATTTATGTAAAATAAATAAATTAATTAATTAATAATTAAATAAATAATTTAATTTTTAAAAATTGAAAATAAATTTTATAGTCGTTTAGATTTATTAATAATAATTATAATAAATACATATATTTATTTATTTATTTGTTAATTAATAATTTATTTATTGTAAATTAATAATGTCCATTTTTGGTTGTTGTTGCTTATTATATATTATATATTTGCTGTTAATACGGCTTGGCTGAATGATTTATTTATTATTATTATTATTATTAAATTATATTGACAAATGAATCCGTTATTTATTTATTTATTTATTTTTATTTATTTATTTTATTTTTATTTGTTTAATAAATATATATATATAAATAATTATTACGATTTTAATTGTTTTTATTCAACCTCATTAAAACGCTTCTTTTCTAAAATTTCTTTAGGAATTTCTACAAATTCTAAACCGGAAGTTAAAAAAAAATAAACTTTTTTTTTTTTAACCGGAAGTTAAAAAAAAAAAAAAAAAGAAAAGAAAAGAATTTATTATATTTTTTAAGTGCACCTGCGAGAAAATCTTTTTTTTTTTTTTTATTTCAATCTTTCATAAATTTACTGGGGTTCGCGAACTAATGACCCGAAAGTAAATTACAGGTAAAAGTTTTTTTTTTAAAAGATACATCGGGAGGAAAAAAAAACGAAAACGCCCCCCAAAAAAAAAAAAAATAATAAAAAATGACCCGAATCATCCCCTCCCTTCATTTTAAGAATTATATTTATGCTTATACGTTTACTTTCATATAATTTATCAAAGATAATAAAAAAAAAAAAAAACGGTTTCATTCATTTTTCTTATCCCTCCCCCCCCCCGAAAAAAAACATTTAGTAATAATAATAATAATAATAATAATAATAATAATAATAATAATAATAATAATAATAATAATAATTTAAAAAAAAAAAGAAAAACAAAACAAAATCCACGTCACCTTCGTAAAAACTTAAAACGTAAAAAAAAATCAAGGAATTAAATTTAAATTACGTAATAATAATAATAATAATGATAATAATACGCGCGTAAAATAAAATCATAACTATTATTATTATTATTATTACTTTAATACTAATTCGAAAAAAAATTTTTTTTTGTTTTTTTTTTTTATTGTATTCTCCAGTGTTTTTCAGTGCCAGCCTTTTTTTGTGCTTTTTTTTTCCATTTCATCTGATTACACAATCACGCTAACTAAAATTTGTTTTGCCCCCCCTCTGTCTCTCTCTCTTCCTCCTCCCTACTCCCTCCCTCCCACTCTTCATAATCTAAATAGGTTGCAGTAAATTGCAGTAACAATTATAAAATGAAAACAAAATAAAAAAACAAAAAAAAATTTCGTTTTTAAATGCGAGACGGCGTGTTGAAAAATTTTAAACGACAATCATCATCTTATTATTATTATCATCATCATCATCATCATTATTATTATTATTTTAAATAAATAACGACCACCGGAATAAAAAAAAAAAGAAAACTTTTTTTCCCCTCCCCCCACTTTGCAAAAAAAAAAATTTGTAATTTCTGTAAATTTTATAAAACTCATAAAAAAAAAAAATTTTTTGATCACATGACCTTTTGACACGCACTCAAATAAATGACCGAATCATCATCATCATCATTATTATTATTATTATTAATGATGTCGTTCGAATGCTCCCCGTTAAATAATTAAATAAAATTATTTATTCACGAACGTGTCATTTTATCGTAACGTATGCTATGATTTACGACGAAAAATTTTAAATTTTCATTTTGGCGCCTTTTTTTTTCCTATTTATTTTAACATAAAAAAAAAAGAAAAGCGAGTGAGTGAGTGAAAGGTAAATAAAATAAATTTTTACGAATCTGTCACGCATTTTTTGTAAAACTACTCTTGTGACGAGAGGAAAGAAAAAAAAAAAAATTTATCGTCGACCTTTTCCATTTTTTTTATTTTATTATTCTTACCTACGTTTACATTTATTATTATTATTATTATTATCATTATTATTATTATTATTATTATCATTATTATTATTATTTTTATTATAAATATTGATTTCCGCATCGTGTGCCGTAAGGTTTTTGTAATACTAATAAAAATTTATATGTGAATAAATGTACGTATGGATGTTTTTTATGTTTACCCGAAAAAAATAATAAAAAAAAAGTTATGTTGTAAGCGAATCAATAATGTTTATGTTTGTTTGTTTGTTTGTAAACAAAATTGTGTTTGGTCCGATTTGAAAGAAAAAAAAAAAAAATTTTTTTTTTTTCGTCGTAAAGTAAATATTTGTGACAAGTATTAGTAGTTAGACCGTTGGACTCAATGATAAAAAAAAAAAAAAAAGTTTTCAATCGGTTGTCGTTTATGAAAAAAAATGTTATGAAAAAAAAAAGAAAAAAAATAATTTTTTATGATTTATGCAAAAAAAAAGTAGAAAAAAATCCCACCGATCTGACAACAAACAAACAATTTAATTT